CTGAGGCCAAAGATGAAGAAATTGAAGATTTCAACCAGCTTCTGCAGTCTGAAATTGATCGAACATGCAATCAGGATGCATTGATAATTATTGGTGATTGGAATGCGAAAGTTGGAAACAAAGAAGAAGGACTGGTAGTTGGAAAATATGGCCTTGGTGACAGAAACCATGCCAGAGATTGCATGATAGAATTTTGCAAGACCAACGACGTCTTCATTGAAAATACCTTTTTCACCAACATAAATAGTGACTATACGCACGAACCTTGCCAGATGGAATACACAGGAATCAAATCGTCTACATCTGTAGAAAGAGACAATGGAAAAGCTCAATATCAGTCAGAACAAGGCCAGGGACCAATTGCAGAACAGACCATCAATTGCTCATATGCAAGTTCAACTTGAGTTGAAGAAAATTAGAAGAAGTCCATGAGAGTCAAAGTACGACCTCGAGTATAGCCCACTTGAATTCAGAGACCATCTCAAGAACAGATTTTACGTGTTGAACACTAATGACTGAAGACCAGACGAGTTGTGGAATGACATTCAGGACATTATACATGAAGAAAGCAAGAGGTCATTAAAAAGACAGGAAAGAAGGAAAAGACCAAAATGTATGTCAGAAGAGACTCTGAAACGTGCTCTTGAACGTTGAGTAGCTAAAGCAAAAGGAAGAAACGATGAAGTAAAAGAACTGAAGATTTCAAAGGGCGGCTCGAGAAGACAAAGTATTATGATGACATGTGCAAAGAGCTGGAGATAGAAAACCAAAAGGGAAGAACATGCTCGGCATTTCTCAAGCTGAAAGGACTGAAGAAAAAAGTCAAGCGTCAAGTTGCAAAAGTGAAGGATTCTATGAGGAAAATATTAAACGACGCAAGAAGCATCAAAAGAAGATGGAAGGAATACAGAGTCATTATACCAAAAAGAACTGGTCGACAATCAACCATTTCAAGAGGTAGCCTATGATCAGGAACCAACAGTACTGAAGGAAGAAGTCCAAGCTGTACTGAAGGCACTGGTAAAAAACAAGGCTCCAGGAACTGACAGAATATCAACTGAGATATTTCAACAAATGGATGCAGCACTGGAAATGCTCACTCGTCTATGCCAAGAAATCTGGAAGACAGCTACCTGGCCAACCAACTGGAAGAGATCCATACTTATGCCTATTCCCAAAAAAGGTGATCCAACCGAATGTGGAAATTATCGAACAATATCATTAACATCACATGAAAGTAAAATTTTGCTGAAGATCATTCAAAAGCGGCTGCAGCAGTGTACCGACAGGGAACAGCCAGAAATCTAGGCTAGATTCAGAAGAGGACAGAGAACCAGGGATATCACTGTTGATGTCAGATGGATCCTGGCTGAAAGCAGAATACCAGAAAGATGTTTACCTGTGTTTTATCGACTATGCAAAGGCATTCGACTGTGTGGATCATAACAAATTATGGATAACACTACGAAGAGTGGGAATTCTAGAACACTTAATTGTGCTCATGAGGAACCTGTACTTAGATCAAGAGGTAGTTGTTCGGACAGAACAAGGGAATACTGCGTGGCTTAAAGTCAGGAAAGGTGTGCGTCAGGGTTGTATCCTTTTACCATACTTAATCTGTATGCTGAGCAAATAATCTAAGAAGCCAGACTATATGAAGAAGAAGAGGGCATCAGGATTGGAGGAAGAATCATTAACAACCTGCATTATGCAGATGACACAACCTTGCTTGCTGAAAGTGAAGAGGACTTGAAGCACTTATTGATGACGATCAAAGACCACAGCCTTCAGTATGGATTACACCTCAACATGAAGAAAACAAAAATCCTCACAGCTGGACCAATAAGCAACATTATGATAAACAGAGAAAAGACAGAAGTTGTCAAGGATTTCATTTTACTTGGATCCACAATCAATACCCATGGAAGCAGCAGTCAAGAAATCAAAAGACGCATTGTATTGGGCAAATCTGCTGCAAAAGATCTCTTTAAAGTGTTAAAAAGCAAAGATGTCACCTTGAAGACTAAGGTGCGCCTGACCCAAGCCATGGTATTTTCAATCGCATCATACGTGTGCAAAAGCTGGACAATGAATAAGGAAGACCGAAGAATTGATGCCTTTGAATTATGGTGTTGGCGAAGAATATTGAATATACCATGGACTGCCAAAACAACAAACAAATCTGTCTTGGAGGAAGTACAACCAGAATATCCCTAGAAGCAAGGATGGCGAGACATCTTACATGCTTTGGACATGCTGTCAGGAGGGATCAGACCCTGGAGAAGGACATCATGCTTGGTAAAGTACACCATCAGTGAAAACAAGGAAGACCCTCAACGAGATGGATTGACACAGGGGCTGCAACTATGGTGTCATGTTTGAATTATGTCCCCCCAAAAATGTGTGTAACAATTTGGCTAGGCCATGATTCCCAGCATTGTGTGGTTGTCCTCCATTCTGTGATCGTAATTTTTTGTTAAAGAGGATTAGAGTGGAATTGTAACACCACACTTACTCAGGTCACATCCCTGATCCAATGTAAAGGGAGTTTCCCGGGGGTGTGGCCTGTACCACCTTTTATCTCTTCAAAGAGATAAAAGGAAAGGGAAGCAAGCAGAGAATTGGGGGACCTCATACCATCAAGAAAGCAGTGCCGGGAGCAGAGCACGTCTTTTGGACTGAGGTCCCTGCGCAGAGAAGCTCCTAGTCCGAGGGAAAATTGAAGAGAAGAAGGTCTATAGAGAGAAAAAGCCTTCCCCTGGAGCTGACGCCCTGAATTTGGACTTTTAGCCTACTTTGACTGTGAGGAAATAAACTTCTCTTCGTTAAAACCATCCACTTGTGGTACTTCTGTTATAGCAGTACTAGATGACTAAGACATATGGGCTCTAGCATAACAACGATTGTGAGCATGGCGCAGGACTGGGCAGTGTTTCATTCTGTGGTACATATGAGTCCGAGCCGACTCAACAGCACCTAACAACAACAACATAAGGGATATCAGTCTAAAGTTTAGTTTTCTTGTAATGTCTTTTTCTGGTCTTAGTAGCAGGGTAATACAGTACATAGAATGAGTTGGGAAGTACTGCTTCTCTTCTATTTTTTGGAAGAGTATGTGAGGGATTAGTGTTAAGTCTTCAAACATTTGGTAGAATTCACCTGTGAAGCCACCTGGACCTGGGTTTTTCTTTTTCTTTGTGGGAATTTTTTTTATTACTAATTCAGTTACTTTACTTGTTGTAGGTCTATTCAAATTTTCCATCTTCTTGAGTAAGTTTTGGTAGTTTGTGTCTTTTTAGGAATTTATCTATTTCATCTAGGTTATCTCATTTGTTGGCACAGAATTGTTCAGAGCATTCTCTTATAATCTTTTTTATTTATGTAAGGTTGGTAGTGCCGTTTCCTCTTTTATTCTTGATTTTATGTGAGTTTTCTTTTTGTTCTTGGTCAGTCTAGCTACAGGTTTGTCAATTTTTTTGATATTTTCAAAGAACCAATTTTTTACTTTGTTGATTTTTCTCTATTGTTTTTCTATTCTGTTTCATTTACTTTCACTCTATATTATTTCCTTCATTCTCCTTGCTTTGAGTTTAGTTTGCTCTTCTTTTTATGGTTTCTTTGTTTAATTGTATTTTTGGTGAAAGTTTACATAGCAAATTAGGTTCCCATTTAACAATTTCTATACATACTGCTCAGTGACATTGGTTACATTCTTCACAATGTGTCAGCATTCTCACTATTTCCATTCTGCTTGTTCTGTTTCCATTAATCTAGCTTCTCTGCCCCTTCTTACTTTTTCATCTCTGCTTTATGGTAAATATTGACTATTTGGTCTCATGTAGATGATTATTTAAAGGGACACAGTACTCATGGGTGATATTGTTTATTTTATGAGCCAATCTATTATTTGGCTGAAAGGTGACCTTCAGGAGTGGGTTCAGGGTGATTATTTTTATACTTTCTTAAGGTTGAAGATTAGGTTAGTGATCTGAGATCTTTCCTTATATTTACTTATTTTTATTTATTGTTGTAGTTTAAGTGAAAGTTATTTTTTTTTTTATTATAGGTATTTATAGCTATAAATTTCCCTCTAAGCACTGCTTTAGCTGCATCCCATAAGTTTTGGTATGCTGTGTTTTCATTTTCATTCCTCTCAAAGTATTTTCTAATTTTCCTTGTGATTTCTTCTTTGACCCTTTTTTTTATTTAGAAGTGAATATTTATTTAGTGTCTGTACATAACACACACTGTATGATTTTAATCCTTTTAAATTTATTGAGGATTGTTTTATGGCCTATCCTGAAGAATGTACACCTAAGAAGTACTTCCATGTATACCTGAAAAGAATGTATATTCTGCTGTTGTTGGGTGGAGTGTTCTATAGATACCTATTAAATCTAGTTGGTTTCCCCTGCCTCTCTTAAAGTAGAAGCAAGGCAGGCAGTTCAGACTGTACCCTTATACTCTACTTCCCTCCAGAACCTATTGTGCTTCTGAGGTCCAGAAGCTACTGTGCTTCACTAATAATAATTATAATAATAGCAGTCAATAGTTACATAGCACATTCTCTGTGCCAGCTACTGTTCTCAACACTGTACATAAAATCACTCATTTAGCCCCTGGAGTCTCTATCAGCCCAGAACTAAAACAATTTCCGAGGCCAGGTCTTCAGACAGGGATTGGACTGGACTGTGGAACATAAAGTGATACTCGTGAAGAGAGTGCCTCTTAGTCAAGTAGATACAAGAGACCAAAGGTGCAGCTTCTGTCCAGAGGTGAGAAGGGAAGGCAGAGAGGGTTAGGAGCTGGTTGAATTGACATGGGGAATCGGGGCGGAAAGGAGGAGTGTGCTGTCGCAGAATGGGGTGAGCAATTAGGGTCATATAACAATTTATGTATAAAATTTTGTATGGGCGACTAACTTGAAATGTAAACTTCATTTAACTAAAACAATATTAAAAAAAAAAAAAATCACTCATTTAATCCTACTACAGGCTCACCTTTGCACCCCAAGCAGCTGCTCCTCAGTGTAAGTGGCACTCCCCTCACCCTGCCGGGTCTGATTCCACTCATTCTCAGACTTCTTTTCTTTCTGTGCCGTCATACAGTTACAGCAACCACAGGGGTCATGACTCTCAGGAGGTCTGTCTTCTGAGTATTTGTTTCTTCTAATTGCATCAATATAAGCTGCAAAGCAACAGCCCCTCCATTAGGCCTTAGTTTGACCCTGCAAATCAACTTTGCTACCTGCCTTAGCTCTCTGGGAGGGTGCTAACGTAGAGAGGAATTCAATTCTTTTTTAGCTAATAGTTACAGAATGAATATGTATAAGACACTAGACTAGCTAGATCAGAGGGATTATGAGTGAGACCTACTCTGGACCACAAAAGAGGTTATATTCTAATGGGAGAGAATTCAATTAATCAAAACACACGCAGAATGTAAAGAGGGACATAAGCAATGTAATCAAAGAGTGCAGAGAACTCACGTCTTATCTGGAAAAAAAAACAGAATCTGTTGCCATTGAGTTGACTCCAACTCAGTGATCCTATAGGACAGAGTAGAACTGCCCTGTAGGGTTTCCAAGGAGTGCGTGGTGGATTCAAACTGCCAACCTTTTGGTTAGCAGCTGTAGTTCTTAACCACTACCCCACCAGGGTTTTATCTGGAGGATTTGGGAAAGGCTTTAAAATTTAAAAGCCTTTGATCAAATGATCAAATGTGATCATATCCTTCTTCCCTAAGTGAGCATCCACTGCTCCTTGTCCAAATTTCTTATCATGGCCCCAGCCTGCCTCCCCAGCCTCATCTCTCACCACATGCTCCTTTGCAATCTGCGCTAGTCACACCAACCTCTTTTCAGATCAGCAATGCTTTTCCTTTTCTCTCTGCCTTTGTACATGCTGTTTCCTCTGCCTGGACCACTCACTAGGTCTGCCTGGCTGACTTCAATGTATCCTTCCTGTCATCATATGTGACATGAGGCCTCTCCTGACACCCAGGCTGTACTGGGTGCCCTGCCAGTGTGCTCCCAAAATCCTTGACCTTGCTGTGGAGCCCAGGACTTTTTAGCTGATTTATAATTGTCTATTTACCTGTTAAACTCCCTAAGAGGGCTGAGAGTTTTCTGGGGCCCCTATCTATCAAATTCTCGCTGCATCTTCAGGCTCAGCCTAGTGCAGAGCACATAAGACATGCTGGATCAATGCTTTTTGCCTGACTGCAGGAAACTGGCATGAATCAAAGGCCTGTTCAGGATAGGAAAGACTGGCCTACTGGTGCTGATGCGGGCTGGCGTGGGGGACAAGATCACCCTGGAACCAAGGGTCAGGCGGCCCAATTTGGCGATGGGGAAACGGGCCTGGTAAACAGGCTGCGGGTGACCGCATCACCCTGCTAGCCTCCAATCACCCTGGCGTAGGTGGGCCAGCTAGCAGCGGCCCTGGGCGGGGCACGGGCCGGGGCTGGGCTGGGGGCAGGGGGCAACAAGTCGTCAATGGTGACTCGGGTTTCCCGGCCTGCCCCCAATTCTGGCCAGAGCTCCCGACTTCCAGATCCCGACCCCTGTCGTGGGCGGGCCCCCACTCCATCCAGAACCCCACTTAGGTTCAGCATATTCTCACGGGCCTCCATCTCTCGCCTCAGGCCCAGGATCTCAGCCCTTACGCGTTTTCAGAAGACCCATGTCCCACCATTCGACCAGGACCTGGTACCTTCAGTCCAGCGCTCCCCGTTGCCCAAAGACGCCGCCATACCGGTTCCCTGTCAAGAGGTCTGCGTGCCTCCCCGGCTCCGGAGGCTGAAAGGGAAGGGGGCGCGAAGCACAGGGCGTACTGGGCATTGTAGTCCAATTCGCACGGGCTACGGAGGACGCGCCGGGTCACTGGACTACTACTCCCGGCAGGCTCCGCGCGAGGGGCCGTCGGAGATGCAGAGATGTGTGAAGGGACTTAAACTTTGGGGGGAGGCCTGTGGAGGAGGCCTGCGGAAGTGTTTGCTGCTGACTACTGCGAGCTGCTGACTCACAGTAGGAAACTGTGGTAACTCCGGGCCACGTTTTCCTCACCTATGGAGTGGGATAGTGGCTTCGCCCCGCCTATCCCGGGGGCTTCCAAGGAGGCGCCACTGAAGCCCTTCCCCAAACCGTAGCCTAGCGGGTGATGGCTTGTCTGTTATTCTCCTCAGGGATGTCCTTTTTAAATATACGCTAATGTCTGTTCTGTGCAAAGCCTGTACTAAGCTCTGGAAATTTAGAGATGGGTTTGACGATGAGCTTAAAAGCGTCCCCTGGGACGCTTAAAAGCCAAGAAAAGTGAGGTAGATTTATGGAGTTGAGAGGGCAGCCTGCATCCCTTGTCCCCCAGCTCCTCAGGCACTGACTCCAGTCATTAGCAGAGTCCTTAGAGGGGCTGCTACAGGGTCAAGGGTAGAAAGAAGAACAGGGTAGTTCTTGGGGCCAGCATTACACTTCCCTCTTTGCTGTTCCTTACACTTCCTCCTTCCTATTCTACTTTGGATAGGAAGACTTATTCTCTCTCAGCTCAATCTTTTCCTTGGCCCATTCCCTTCCTTTCTGAAGTACCCAAAACCAAGCCCGTTGCCGTCGAGTCGATTCCAACTCATAGCAACCCTATAGGACAGAGTAGAACTGCCCCATAGGATTTCTAAGGAGCGGCTGTTGGATTCAAACTGCCAGCTTTTTGGTTAGCAGCCTGAGCTTTTAATCACTGCACCACCAGGGTTCCTCTGAAGGACCAGACTCTAGGAAATTAGTGAAAAGGAAATGAAGAAATATTCCTGCCGATCCTCACTCAGGTTTATAATAAAGGCAACTCTTCTAGGTGGATGGGTACAGTGTTCTCACCCACTGACTTATGACTGCAGGAAGGTGGGTGGGTTGAGATAGCCAAAGATCAGGTCTGCAAAGGGAAAAATGATAGTGTTCATCCCCAAGTAAGAAATTACCTCGAATTCACTGAGATCTTACCTAAGAAGATTATATCAGTTATAGTATCAACCAGCAACTATTTAGAGAGTTGTTGGGTTGGGGGTGGGGTGGGGTGGGGAGTTGTACAGCCCTGGACATAAACTGGAAGGATCGAAGTCCCCAGTGTCATGCAGTTCTAGCCCTTCCTTGCAAATACTAAGCTCCCAAGGAGCTTCAAGAGGACAAGGACTTTTTAGTGGAAAAAGCACTGGCCTAGGAATTAGATAAGGGTTCTAGTTTGGTTTTGCCACAAATTATTGTGTGAACACCACCAACTAACTCCCTTTTCCTTCTCCTTTGGCCTCAGTCTCCCCACCTATAAAATGAGAGGGTTGGATTAGATTAGTAGTTTTTAAATTGAGGAATCCTTCAGGTTCTGTGTGCAGATGTCCTGGGACTTTATACTGGGGTTTTGGAAAGGAGGACGGCACAGCAAGGAAGACCCCAGTCCCTTACCCTTTTTCAGTCAAAGCAGCTCTCCTCTTTTCTATTTTATATTTTGTGGTCTACTAAAGGAAAAAAATAAATTTGAAAACCAAAACTGGTTAACCATTAAAGGCTTGTGTCTTTTCTAAAATCAATTTTCTCCAGAGCGCGTGAGGATAGTGCTCTGCTTATACCCTGACACCCGTAAGCACTGAGAAAGTGGCAGCTGTCTAGATATTTAGTAATTTTCATTTTTTCTTAGGAGAGGGAATTCAGTATAGTGTTTAAGAGATCAGCATAGGATTGCTGTAGAATATAATAAGATAATGCTTGTATTTAGTCTCTAATCTCCCATGTAATATGTGCTTAATAAATGCTAACAAATGTTATAGACTGGCTTAGAGGAAAAGAAGTCATTTTTTTCCTATGGCTTGATATTGTAAATTAGTAGTGGGAGCATGTTGTTGTTGTGTGCCGTTGAGTCGATTCTGACTCATAGCAACCCCATATGACAGAGTAGAAGTGCCCCACTGGGTTTCCTAGGTTGTAATCTTTACTGGAGGAGATTGCCAAGTCTTTTTTTCACAAAGCCACTGGGTGGGTTCGAACCACCAGCCCTTTGGTTAGCAGCTGAGTGCTTAACTGTTGTGCCACCCGGGCTCCTTAGTTGGAGGAGAGTGGTGGGGTATACTGGGTATGTCATAAGGTCCAGATATGTCTAACTGGATCCTGTGCCAGTCTGTCTGGCAATCATTACCTACAAATAGGACAAGAAGCATAACACTACCGAAAAGGGCTGGAAGCTGCTATTCCCTGCACCCTGGCCCCTGAATCCAGCCACTAAAACTGGTGATCTGCCTCCTCTTTCAAAATAAGAAGAGCTTGGCAAAAGTTAGCCAGTATAAGAAGGTTCCAGGCAATCCAAAATCAGATGGATTACCTTATGTCCTTAAACTTGAGAGGGAAGAGAGAAACTAAAACCCTAGGTTGAGTCAAAAGCCCAGTTCTGGGACACTGTACCTATGACCAGCTCGTGTACCCCAGGCAACAGTGTGATCACAGAAGGCAAGGGTCCTGAAAAAGCCACTTGTGCTCTGTAGCCAAGAAACCTGATTAGGGACACCCATCAGGTGATTGAATATAAAAAGGAAGTTTCTCTGGTTTGGGAAGGCTAGATAGCCTGCTTTAGCAGATGGACAGTGAAGGGTGGGGTATACCATGAAGTCCAGGGCCACAGGGCTAAGGTCTGGAGATTTCAGAGATGTCAGAGAGCCATGAAGTCAGAAGTATCTGGCAGAGAATGGGGGTGCTAGAGGACTGTAGAGGGTAACTGAATTGAGAGGGGGTACTATGAATTATTGGGGGTACTTAGGAGCAGAGTCCAGATTCAAGGATGCTGGGTAAGATTTGGGAAATGAGGGCCTCTTGGAGATAACTGGTACCTCAGCATTCTCTCCCCTCCTTATCCTCTGAAACCTCACCCCTTCTTTTCTGGATTTGACTTGTTTAATTCTAGACCACCAAAAAATGATTCAACACTGCCACCATCTCAGATATTGCCATGCAAATGTACCCTTCAGCTCATTTACACCTAAATTAACCATTTTGGATGAATTTTTCTATGACTGTATCACTAGAACTAACTTAGAACCACAAACTTCAACATTTAGAACACTTTTGTGCCAGATTTTGCTTAAGTTCATAGACCACTCAACACAAATAATTCCCACGGTCAAACTCAATCTCTGTGTTCTGTAGAAGAGGAAGTTGTGGGCTCATAGAGTATAGGATGGAGGTGCCAGTTACCCAGCAAGAAAAGTGAGAGAGTAAGTAGGAATGAGATAAGTGAAGAGAACTGAGATCTCAGTTGTAGTTCTCAAAAAGGAGGTAGGTGTAGAAAGAAGTTTGAAGAGGAGAGAAAGGAAAGCATCCACTGAGCCACAGGGAGACCAGTAAGCCAAACCATATAATATTTTCCAGCAGAATTCAAATAAAATTTAGTAGTACTAGCCTGCCTTTGGGAAATTGGGTGTAAGAATTAGGCCAATGAGATACTTTGTCCACTAAATCATTTTACCTAGGGCCAGCCTCAGGTTTCTATGAATCATCTCTACTTACTTTTAAAACTATTTACTGAACTATAGTGAATTTTTGTTGGTGATACTGAGGTTTGCCGTGATACCTACGTGATTGAGATATTGGACCTGCCCCATCCAGCCCTGGAAGAAAGATACTGAGTAAATGATCCCTCTGTCTGACAGGGCCTGTGTACCTGAGCTGGTTTGTTGGTTGCCCTTCCACAGGACGAGGGAAGAAATGTGATAAGGACACTACATTAACTACCCTACGCCCGCCACCTGTTCCTGCTTTAGGGCCATATAGTCCTATGTCGGAATAGGGAGGAAGCTGTCTTGTAAATGGCCACCATCCTGTTGTCTAGACATCAAGGAAGGGATGTGGTCTCAGGGAAGCTGCAAGAACTGCAGAAGGCTGCACTTGGATTTCCTGTCAGAGGTGGGTTCTTGTATTTCTATGAATAGTAAGATCCCCCAGCAGAACCTCCTCTAATACAGTTTGCTATAGAGCAGAATTCAGCTTTAGGTGAGTTCACCCTGGACCCCTTCCCAAAAAATTTACTTAGCAAAAGAACAATCCACTTGTCTAAAGTGGTACTGTAGTGTCAGTGTCAGGGTAAAAGCCTTTCAGTCTCAAAGGTATTAATACCAGTTTACCCCCTCTCCAACCACACACATAAATACCTTATGACTAACAGCTCATATTTGTAGGACATTGTCCAGAATCAGGGGAAAGTTTGTGGCCTTAGAATGCAGACTTCAACTGAGTTACCTAGAGTGAAACCCATATCCTTGACCTGATAATCCAATATGATATGCAGCTCATCTAACTGCCCATGGCAGTCAGAGTAACAATAATAATTTAAACAGAATCCAGTACTTCTAGACATTGTTATGTCACCTGCAGAGTTCTAGCTCAGTAACATGGTTGTACTGGAATTGACTAGTATAAGTCATGTGTTTTCTGCAGTGTTATTTAAATCAAATATATCTGAATTATTAAAAAAATATTGCTGTTATAGGTTGAATATCTCAGGAAATAGACTCTGAGACTCAGATTTGTATGCCAACGGTTTATTGGTGAGTGCTTCTGGGAACAACAGCATGAGGAGTAAGGGAAGCAGGACTGGGTAGAGGGAGAAATTGAGGCAAGGGGTCCAAGTCTTCATCCCCATTCCCACCCCTATACCAGTCATCAACCAGTTGTGAACTCTCAACAGCCAACACTCCCAGCAGCTGGGGAACAAATGCCTTGATCCTGAACTGGGATCTTGGTGGTGCTCCACATTGTCTGCTACAAGTGCCAGCTAATACTTTTACTTCCCGAGCATTCCAACATTTATTATTCCATTTTACCTACCCAGTAGCCTGTGAGGTAGACAGAGTCGGTAGAGATCACTCTTCCCTATTGATACATGGGAATGTCAAAGACTTGCCCAGAGTCACATAAGATTTGCCTCTGGTTCCCACCCAGTGATTTCTACTTAACAGATTGTGTTCATTTTTTTCTACATCTAGAGTTTATAGAACTGTGGAATATAAGAATTAGAAAAGATAGTGAAGGCCAAGTAGTTAGTTCAGCCAGGTCACTTTAAAAGTAATGAAACAGGCTCAGAGAAGGGGGGTGATTTGATCAACGTTAAGCAGCAAGTCTGTGGAGGAGCCCAGCCTCATGGCCAGGTTTTCTTCACCCAAGAACCTATTTTCATTACCTATGATGTACTGGAGTTACAAACATGAGTAGGTTACAGGCCCTGCCTTAGATAATTTTGGAATCTAGTAGGTTTCTTCAGTCTCACTTTAATAGTTTTAATGAGACAGAGGGATAGTGAAACTTTTTATTCTAGGCTTTCTCATATCACTTTGCAAAGTCTAAATCCAGAATAAGATAGCATATTGTTTCTTGAGAATGAGTAATCTCAGAGATCAGGAATGGTGTTCTCCCCATCTTCCAAACTGTTGGCTAGTAATGCTTATAAAGTTGAACAATCTCTGCAGACACACACAGATGACTCTTCCATTGATTCTGCCCAATCAAGATTCGTTTCCAAACCAGTATCATGGCAAAGATACCTATTACTAAGAAAAGAGATACTGCCTTTCTTTTTCTCTTTAAATAACTTTATAGGATTTATGTGATTTTTTATTCTCTTTCTGGGACATAAAGATAACAGCTGCCTGCAGTAAAGTGGGTGGGTTTTCTGTTTACAGAGTCACGACCTAACTTCATTCCAAACTTGCCCAGTGATCTTCCCACAGCTGGGGCCAAAGTGATGAATGTCTATCCTGGGGCAGGCAAAGGACAGCTGCCTTCATATTATTCAACTCTCACCACTGGAATTTCCTAGTCGGAATGTTTTGTGCCTCCCAAGTTCTCTCGCTGCAGATGTGACGCTTCTTTATTGGTGATGGTTTATATTTCATTTTCTTTCTCCTCTGTCAGTGTGCTTAGTCAGTCACCTGAACCCTACTTAATAAGCCAAGTGAACTGAGGAAGAACTGACAAAAATTTCTCTCCATCTCTCAGGTTTTTCAGAGAGCTCCCCACAGGGACAGAACCTTGCATGCATTCCTGGCCTAAGAAAGGAGATCCCAAAGCTGCTAGAACTCTCAGTAAACAAATGTGCATGGGAGCAGAAACCTTAAAAGAAGTTAGACTGCAGGCCAGAAAATAATTTTAATGAAAAGTAGAAAAAGACCAATCCACCTCATCATTTTCCTCACTCTTGCTCTTTCCAATGACTCTGAGAAAGTGGGAGGAGCAGGCTGTGTATTTAGAATGGCTATCCAAATGGGAGAGAGTCTCTTGTATTGGTAGCTTGCTCCCAGATCTCGAGGAAAGCTAGTGTCCTTTAGATCTGGGAGTAGATGTGAAACAATAAAATAATTTATATATAGTTCATTGTCCCTACCAATCCCATTGCTTTCTCCTCGCAGTCACAGGGCAACTGCATCATCCTCGGGCCCATGGGGCCCCAATGTTGCCTTTACAGAACCTGCAAAATAAACACAATGAGGAAGGATGAACTTCTTGGAAGTGGCGGGGTAGGGAAGATGGAAGGAGAAGCTGGGTCTTTGAAAGTATCTCCTTTCTGGCTCAGGAACTAGAACTTGAAGATAGGAGGCGGGGTGGTGGCGGGGGGGTGGTGAACTTGGGGAAGGGAAGAAGGAAACAGGAAAAACGCACCTTCTCTGCTGAGGAGCATTCTTTGCTGTTATTCGTGTTGATATTCTTCATGGAGATGAGGGTGATGCTGTCTTTCTCGCCATTGGCTGTGGAGCAGCTAAGGGTAGGGAAGGAGTCTGGGTTATAGAGAGGAGAAGGAGGGAGGGCAATGGGGAGTCAAGGAACTGTGGGGTTGAAGTTGTTGAACCTTAGATCTTTGTTCTGAAAATTCTGTATTTTGATGTGTGCCATAATGAACTGAGCACTTTGAAAAGACTAAAAGATCTGTATTTAAATCTTGGTTTTACTACTCACCACTTGTGTAATCTTGACCAAGTTAAAACTTCTGTTAATCCTTATTTTATTTGTGTAAAGTGAAGTAATAGGTACCTTAAAGAATTGCGTGAGGATTTGAGATAATATTTCAAAATATCTACCATAGTGTTTGGCACATAGTAGGTACTAAATAAATGGCTCCTAAGCATACAGGAAGTGACTTCTTACTTAAGGGGTAGATTAGAATCTGAGTTCCTACCCTTTCCTGAGAGGGTTTCAGAGGTTTAGCTCTGGGGTTGAAGAGTTCCAATTCATCTCCTGTCACCATCACCTTATTGTCTCCTTTCAGATCTTTCCCTGTCCTTGTCCTGTCCACTCAGTGGCTCAGTGGAGGCTGTCAGGATTTTGTGTGTGTGTGTGTGTGTGCGCGTGTGTGTAAGGCAGGAAGTGTTGGTTCCCTCTTGGAAGTGGGGGAGTGGGAGATCAGACAGATGATTCTTCCTTTACACCTTTGACAGTCTTACCTTTCAGATATTCCTGAACTGCCTGGTTTCTGGGGATCTGCAAAAACCCAAGGCATAGATTAGGAGTCACATGCTGTAATTCAGACACCTGGCCTGCCCCTCAAAGCCCACCAAAGTGACCCCTCACAATTCATGGTGCTTAAATGCCAATCCTTCTCTCAACTCCAGTCTGGGTCTCAGCCATGGAATTTAGCCCTGGAGCTCCCCAGCAAAGAGGGAAAAAGCGGGGCTCTGAGATCAGGGCTTTACCTTCAGACTCCTTGTTTTTCCGACACTTAAACCTTAGACTGACCACACTGACTAGGATGATCACCACAACCACCAGGATGACAATGAAGCTAATAACACCTGAACAGAGAAAAGAATAGGGTAAAAGGGAGGCTGAGAAGGGGACAAAAAGGGGCAACAGGAGTCCAGAATTCCCTTTGCTAAGTGCTGTATAGACTGGCTCCAGAAGCAAAGTGAATTCCGTTTCTTTGTGGAGCAAGCGAGCTCTCAACCTGCTGCCCCTAGCCAAAGTAGGGCATCCTCCCATGCCCATCCTCCCATAGCAACACGGAACCCAGCAGAACCAAGAAGAGTTGACTAGAGGGCCAGTGGAGGCTCTCTCCCACCACAGCCTTTCCTTTAGCCAAACCCTCCTGGAATAAATGGGAGAGATTTGAACTTGTGTTTCTATACCCAGAGTCTAAGTCAATTTCAGGGAAAATTCCCTCCCATGCCCCACCTTCTCCGCCTGACTCACCAAATGCAGCCACGGTGAGCACCGACTCTGATGTGGGACTAGGCAGGATGGTCAAGTATCCCCCTGTCCTCAGGCTCATGGTGGTTGATTCCGGGGTAATATTTTGGAATGTGTCTAAGATGGAGTGGGAATAGGTACATCAGTGACGGGAACTGACACAGCCTAGCATGGAGAACTAGCTTCCCTCCCTCACCCCCCAGGTAAAAAATTACAGGGGGAGCTCACACCCTACATAAAAGACTTCTTCCCTGCCACATCAACCAGATCCCAGGAGAATGGAGGTCAGACCATGATGATGTGTGGTCATGTGAATGGCATTGCTAGTTGCTCACGTTGCTGGTGCCAGAGGACTCCAGGAGATTCAGGATCCGTCTCTCATTATGCTTTTCCCACCTCCCCTTGAGGCCCAGAGGAAAAGGATTTATGCCCCAGATACAGGGAGCCAGACTGGGCAAGGTATAGCCATCTGTGTTTTGCCAAGTGTTGAAGCGGGTGGAAAGAAGTGCACAGGATATTTATCCTCAGGAGCTGATCTAACAAGCCAGGCTGCCAGTTAAATGGCACAAGTATCTGTCCTCTTGAAAAGTAGTATGGCCACCCCTCTACTCCCCTCCTCAACTCACTGTACTTTCAGGCCTAATTACTGTTCCATTTTCTTATCTTGCTGAACTCCCCTCCCAAGTAGGTCTGGGGAGTGTAAAAACTCCCAGAGCCAAGGAATGAGATGAGAGAAAGGAGGAAGAAGTGATCTCGATAGGTCCTCTGCATTGTGAGCACAGACAGAACATACCTCCACTTGGGCTGCCACTGCTCCTGCTGCTGCTGCTGCGTGGGGCACCTGTGCCTGCACCATGAAAGCATGGCCAAGGTGAAGGGCATCCTCCCCACCCCCAGCTCTTCCCTCATATTGATTGGTGAGGGCCAGCCTTCCCCAAGAGGAGGGCAGCTCTTTCCCAACCTTTTCTGCCTCTCTTTCCCATCATTTTGGGTTCTTCTACCCCTCTCTCTTCCCCTCTACTCCTTTATCAGCTCAAGTCCAGCCTCCTTTACCTTCATCATGACCAGGCCCAAGTTCTTGTCTCTATTCCCCCACCAAATCTCTCTCATTCTCTCCCCAACCAGGTGATTTGGATCCTGGCCTCAAGACCCATGGTTCTGGAGCAGGACCTGGGCCTTCTGACGTGGGGAAGAAGGAACTCACCCAGACATACCCCAGTGTCCTTCACCCCCACCCCCTGCCCTGGCCCTCAGCAAGTCCTGATGTGTGCTTCTGTGGCTGGGACTGAGGCAGGCCCAGTGAGAATGAGGAATGACCATCCATCGTGCTTGACCTCAGCGTGGTGGGTTCACTTGTTACTATGGGGACCTGTGAGGCCTTCTTTAAAGGTGCTGTGGATCAGGAAGCATGCCGAGGGCCTGTTTAGGGCCTCAGCCAGCAAGCGTATAGAGAGGACTCTTTAGTCCCAAATCCTCCTTTACTGCTTTTTGTTCCAGGTGAAGAACCATTCTCTCTCTCACCTCTGGGCCTTTACCTGTACAGCTCCCCCTGCCTGGAATATACCCCACCACCTCCACCCTAATATCTCCATCTGACTAACTCCTTCTCAGGTCTCAGCTCCAGAGGTCACTCACTCTGAAATGTTTTCCCTGGCCCGCAAATTTGAAGTGGCTGATGTTTTTCTGGGCTCCCATAGCACCTCCTGCCTATGCCCATCCTAACCATTCTCACCCTGCTTTGCAATTGTCCATCTGAGGTCCTGTTTACTTGTCTGTTCCCCCACTAGTTTATATTTTCCTTTAGAGCAGACACTGTGTCTGATTCCTCCCTGGGCCTTCCCTGGATGAGATTAGTATTTTGAGCAGCAGAGTACCTGGGGAACCAGTGCTGGACAGAGGACTTAGGCTCTGAGGGAGGGATGACTCCTGCAAGGATATAGTCAGATATGGAGTGGGAAGTGGGGCAGGCTTGGTGACACTACACTCTGCCGGCCATCCCAGAACCCTTGGGCTCCAAGCAGGACTGAATAGCTGGGGACATGGAGGTGAGGAGGTTGGCACCTCATCAAGCACACTTACTCACCCGTGTTGGGAGAAGTTGGCTCTATGGTCAGACTTAGATTGCTGAAGGCTCCTGAAACAGATCATTGGAGGCTGAGGGATCTGTTGCTACCTATTGCTGTCTCCCTCTCTTCTTCCTTTTATCTGGTATTTTCTAGACTTTCTCCCTGCCCCACCCCCAACCATTCATCTTGCTCCTCTTTCAAGCCATGTTAGAATAGGCCAGGCAGGAAAAAAAAAAAAAAAGAAATCCCTAGATGAGCTCAGCTTTGGATGTTGTGAAAGCTCTGGCCTCAGCACCCATCACCTGAGGTCAGGGCAAAACTGGTCTAGAGCTCCTCTCACCCTTCCTACATCGCCTGGAGTAGGCCCTGTGTATTTGTTCTTACCCTGAGAGCTAGAGGTCTGGGTTGTCGTGGGCTGGCAGTTGTGGCCTGCAAGAGAAAGCAAAACATGTGGCCTAGTTTGGTAAGTCTCCTGCCCAGGACAGAGCTCATAGTGGAACTCAGGCCGTTTGGCTTTCTAAGCCTCCCATGCTGGAAGCAGACACACTTGGCAGAGGACTAAAGGATGTGGGCTCTAGTTCATGATGCTGGCTTCCTCCAAGACTGTGACTCAGTAGCACCATTACCACCATCTCATGGTTCAGAGTCCCGAAGTCCTTTCTTGTCTCTTCAACTCCATGTGGGTCTTACACCATCCTGACACAAGGTCAGAGAAGGTTGTCTTAAACTAATGACAAGAACAGAAGGTCAGTGATCTTCCGAAACAAGAACCCAGGACTCCAGGTCCCTAGGGTAGTGTTCTCGTCACTCTGTTGTTAGGCTATTCATTTTCCCTGTGAAGACTGTCATCCTGGACCCACCCCAAAGAAAGGGAATGGAGAGAAATTGTGAATAAGATACGGTTAGGGATTAGAGTTTGTATCTGGGTTCTCTCTCTGCCTGCCCCCAGCTGGAGGGAGAGTCCTGCACAGGAAGCAAGTTCTGGGGTATATACAAGAGACAGAGAGCTCTAGGGCAAGGGACAAAATTACTCTCACAGGAAGTTTACTCTCGAGGTCACGGCCTACTTCAGAAATGGCCATTGTTGGCCAAACCCAGAGAGGAGTGGCTTACCAGAAGTCCCCAGTCAGAAGCTCTCATTTGTTTTTTGCGCGTACATGTATATGTCTGTGAGCCTCTCTGCAGATGTGTGTGTGTATGCACATGTGTCCACATATGTATCCTGCTATGTGTGTGAGACCTGAGAACTCAGGTTGTGTTTCCTCATTTTCTACAATGAAATCATTCTTAAAACCTGTGAACAATGTGAAAGGAAAACAACGTGGGGAAGTGGAGCCGCCCAGCTGGGTTCCCGTCCCTCAGCTCAGCCTGGGCCTACAGTCCCTAGCCTGGGCCTCCTGCTCCCTGGGCCCCTCATCATCAGGGAAGCACTAAACCCAGGCCTGGGTAGACAGAGGCGGCTGGGTGCCAGGGGCCCGCCCTGGCCTATGGCAGCCTGCGGGTCTGTTTATTTTCCTTAATCCACTGCCTTCCTCCATGGGGCTGTCATTTGGATAGTGTGGAATTAATTTTTTCCAAGCCTAAGCTTGCCCAAACCCTGGGTTGTGTTTTTCCAGGTCATCATCTCTGATAGCTCCATTAAATGTGGGGTAAAGAGGGAGAGTTAAAACTTGTGGGAACTGCAGGCTATAGAGAATCCTTCCCGCTTGAGGTGGGCACAGATACAATGACCTTGGGAGAACTCTTTCAATCCAAGGCATGTCCTGAAAACATCTATCAGTTATTGATCAAGCATATCCAATGTACCAGCTAAGTTCCACAACATCATAACTTTATATTTTAGTGGAGGGCACAGTGTACTGCCTTCCTGCATTTATCGAGAAAGAAAACTAGTGTCTTGGAAGGAGTTCCAAAGTCACAAACTTTAGGTCCTAGTTGCCTGCTCTCTCTGTGCCTCCTGCCTCCTTTCCTCCCCAGACTTTTTGTTTCCAATAGAGATTCTTCTGTGAGTAGGGGAGGGATTTAGGGAAAGTCTGCCTCTGCGGGCCAGGATGCCTCTGAGTACTGGGCACCAAGGTACCCAAAGAACACTGTCCATAGGGATTTCTTATTTTCCTGCTCTCCCCTGCCTAATCTCTACCTGCTTCATTCCCTTCCAGATCATCTTCTTCCTCTCTATCTCCCCGCCCACCATTTTCTTCAGTAACGTAGTTTAGTAGTTAAAATCTTGGATTTTGGAGTCTGACAGGCTTAAGTTCAAATCCTGGCTCTGTCATTTACTGTGTGACCTGGGCCTCAGTTTTCTTTAAAATGCATTGGTAGCTACCTCATAAGTTGTTGCGAGGATGAGAAAATGCATATAAAGCATTTAACACAGTGCTTGGCTGATAGTCCTTACTCAATAAGTGCTATATATTTTTTAATTTTAGCCCATTCCCTGAAATCCTCCAAGTCTCAAGTCTGCCCTGACTCTATATATCCACAGTTAAGCCCCTTCATGGGCCTGAATATCCTCAAGAGGATTCCTCAGTCCACCAAAATGGAGGAGACAGTAAGTGCTCTGAGCTCTTGGAATGAGAGGTTAGGAAACTCAAGGGATGCTAGGGGATTAGATAGAGTTTATCAGGGCATTTGGTAGCCCTGGCATTTGCCTGGGACAGGACAGTGGATAGGAAGCTGGGAGAAGCCTAGATTTATGAAAAGCCACCTCATGAGTCTTACCTTTTACTCTATTTCCTCTTATGCCATCTCTGCAATTTCCACAACAGCCTAGTCGCCAGCCCCAGATCAAATCTGAGGGGGACAGCAATCAGTTTTTGCCCCAGCCCATGGGCTTTTTGAGATATTTGGCCTTCCAGGAGGCAGAATGCTCTGGTACTCAGGCCCTCTCTCCCCACAACCAAGAAAGGTCCAGCTTGATAGCTTTCCCATCACCCCTTCCCATCCAAAGCACTTTTGCTCTCTCTCTGCTGCTTCTAACACAGGCTTAGAAATCTTCAGCCGAGAACTTGTTGAGGGTGAGGTGGGGAAGTGATGACCAAAGGGAAGTTGTTGCCCTGTGAGTCACAATCTCCTGAATTTTTCATGGTTCCCAGTAACTGCTCCCTAGTTATAGGACCCCTTATGAGCTGCTTCAGGAGTCATCAGCTGGCAAAGCCCTGTCTGAGAGGTGTTGTTTCAGAGTAATCTCCTCTAGAGGCCATCTTATCTAGCCCCCTCGGTAAGGCTGTGGTGTACATCCTCCTTGACAAACAGTTCTTTGTGTCTAACTCCAGTCCCTTTGGCTGTGATTTGAGTTTACAGTCAACATTTGGAATTCCCAATAACAATTACTTACTCCTCACATGAAAAAAGATCACCAGAGGGTTAGGCTTGATAAGGGGCAGCTGTGGCTTTTTGGGCCTCCCCTCACCCTGGAAGGAACCTTCCAGCTTCAGTCTCACACCAAGACAACCACTTCACATTTCATGAGGTCAGCCTCAATCAGGGCCCCAGTTCTCCCTGGAAATTTCCTCACAAAAGGGTTTAACTCTATTTTACCACTGCCTGGTAATGATTACCCCCCAATTCAGCTGATCCTCTTCACGGAAAGTCTCTGGAATTTCCCTTGGGGACAGCCCTGGATGGAGAGTGCATGGTGTGTGTCCTGAAGGAGGGACTGGTGCCCAGGACTGCCAGCCTCCCGAGATGAATTGCTGGAGGAAGGTGGCAGGCACTTCTTACCTTGGAGTAGAAGGAAGCCCAGGATGGCCCAGCACAGCTGTGTTGCTCCAACGGTCACCATATCAGCGGGGTGTGTGGTGGGCAGACAGCCGCTCGGCAGAGGCTCTGTCCATAGTGGAGAAGAGAGAGGGAGTGCTGGGGCGGGGTGGGGGGTGGGGCTGGCTCTCCAGGAGCTTCCTGTCAAAGAATAGAAGGAAACAGATTGGGACTGACTCCAGGGGCCTTGCTCAGTTTGCCCATCCAGATGAGGATGTGAGGCTGCCGCAGCAGCGAATCACTCAGCACCCTTCATGGCCTGGGGCAGGGCCGCTGTGGTCTCCCCCAGGACCTGTGCACATAACCAGTGACAGCAACCTGGCCCCATCTGCCCTCTTCTCCCCGCTGAGTAGTCTATCAGGTCCCTCCACTTACCACCTGGAGGTTTTTCTGCACTCTAACTCCGACCTTATCCAATATTGCTTCAGGCCTGATCCTCCTCTCCCATAAATGAGCCCAAAGATCAGCCCACCAAACGCCCAAACTCTGTGGGCTCTGAATTCTCTGCATTCCTCTCTCTCCTCAGGGTTCCTGTGCAGAAGAGATGCCCAGCATCTTTCAGGGAGGCCTTACAAGCATTATTGTTATT